CCCGGTACACCACAGCATAATGGTGTAGCCGAAAGGAGAAATCAGACTTTGCTTGACATGATAAGATCAATGTTGAGTTATTCTTCACTGCCTACTTCATTCTGGGGTTATGCCCTAAAAACAGCTGCCTACATTCTGAATAGAGTACCATCTAAGTCTGTACCTACAACACCCTTAGAGTTGTGGTGCGGTCGAAAACCTAGTTTGAGACACGTGCGCATATGGGGGTGTCCAGCACATGTGCTGAAGGGAAAGACTGGGAAGTTGGAGCCCAAGTCAGAAGTATGTATGTTTGTAGGATATCCTGATGTGACAAAGGGAGGTTTCTTTTATAGTCCTGAAGATCAAAAGGTGTTTGTATCGACAAATGCCACATTTCTGGAGCATGACTATATGATAGATTTTAAGCCCAGAAGTAAGATAGTATTAGAAGAGTTACTTTCCGATGAGATTGGACCACAACCGACAAGAGTTGTCGAACCACTCAGAAAAAAGACCACAGTTCCTAATCAGACTCCTAAGGCACCTCGTCGTAGTGGGAGGGTAAACATGTTATCCAACCGGTATACCGGGGAAGCCCAAATCGTCACTGATGATGACGGTAAGGAGGATCCATCGACCTTTAAGGATGCAATGGATGATTCTGATAAGGAAGAATGGCAAGCAGCTATGAAACTCGAGATGGAGTCTATGTACTCTAACTCGGTCTGGCAACTTGTAGATCTACCCGAAGGGGTAAAACCCATTGGATGCAAGTGGATATACAAGAGAAAGAGATGAGTAGATGAAAAAATAGAGACTTATGAAGGAAGGCTAGTGGCTAAGGGTTATAGCCAAAATGAGGGAGTTGACTATGAGGAACCTTTCTCGCCAGTAGCTATGCTTAAATCCATCCGGATACTCCTAGCCATTGCAGCATATTTTGACTATGAGATATGGCAGATGGATGTCAAGACAGCTTTTTTGAATGGCTACCTTGAGGAAACCATCTATATGGAACAGCCAGAGGGTTACATAGAGGAAGGCCAAAAGCAGAAAGTCTGCAAACTGCAAAGGTCCATTTATGGACTGAAGCAGGCTTCTAGATCATGGAACATTAGGTTTGATGAGGCTATAGAGTCTTATGGATTTGATCAAAATATTGATGAACCATGTGTCTACAAGTACAAGAAAGAAAAGAAGGTGGTCTTCTTAATTCTTTACGTCGATAACATCCTACTCATTGGGAATGATGTGGATTGATGACAGATGTAAAGGAGTGATTAGCCAACCAATTCCAAATGAAAGATTTAGGAGAGGCAAGCTATGTTCTTGGGATTAAGATTATTCGAGATCGCAAGAGTTTGCTTTTGGCGTTGTCACAAGCATCTTATATAGACAAAGTGTTGTCTAGGTATTCGATGCAAAACTCCAAGAAAGGGAATTTGCCTTCTAGGCATGGTATTCATCTTTCTAAGGAGCAATGTCCAAACCACTAGATCTGGGTTCTAGGTCCTAAAACAAGTCCAAAGAACCCAAGATCTCCAATTTCTACTCTAGTTTTACTCAAAAACCATCAAAATCCGGTTTGAACCAAAAATGGGTTTTGAAATCCGAAAACGTAAGATTCAAGAGAGGTTCTTTCAGTAATCTTACCTCGAATCCTTCTCTTGACGTTCAAAACTTCTTTAAATCTTTCCTTGGTTCAAGATCCGTTTGATTTGGGACAAAAATGAGAGAGAGAGTGAGTGAGAGAGAGCACGGGAGAGTGAGAGAGAGAGTGAGGGAGAGAGACGCACGGGAAAGGAAGGGAAAAAGAAAGGAAAAAGAAAAGAAAAGAAAAAGAAAGGAAAAGAAAAAGAAAAGAAAAGAAAATGACATATGTACAATATTTTAAAAGGGCAGTCCAGAAATGCGCCCATACACACTTCTGGTTTAAAACAAATTACTGAGAATAATTTAAATACCTTGGAACTATTTAAACTCACACGTGTCAGAAACATTTATTAATTAAACTCAATTAATAATCCGGATTGGCCACACTAATAATCTCAATTACCTTAATTAATCTCAATTAATTCTTCAGGGTGTTACAGTATCAACTACTACTGTCGAAGTCAGAAAATCAGGTAGCTGGTAAGAGTGGTTCGCCTGACTGGGAAGCTGTAATCATGGAAATACAACTGCCAAATCCCAAAATTAAGGGATAGAGGATGATCTCCTCGGAAAATGCAGAGGAAATCTCTCATGTGTACAAGGCCTATAAATAGAGCCATGGAAATTCATTAAGTTTTTTATGCACTATTGAACTATCCAAAAAAAAAAAAAAAATTGTTTTCAACAAAGTATTAGTGCATCCACAAGTGGACTATGCCAAGAAATCTTACCGAACCACTATAAATTCTTGTATTCTCTCTATTAATCTGCAGCATTAATCCTTAATCAATCTGTGAGAGATTACTGCGAGTGTTCTCAAAAAATTAATTCTTAGTTGACAGAAATCCACCGACAACAATTAATTCATTAACTTGTTAATTAATTATTAAGAATTGCTTATCTTTGCCCTTATGACACGTGTATATGTTTCTTGACAAAAAACATTATACAACTGCCCTATATATGTACCTATAAATATAGGTGAAAGAGCTGAAATTGACGTATAGAAAAACAATTATATCTGATCAATTCACCAATCATATTAATTAGGAACAGAATAGAATGTTATATGTACGTCTGCAGTACTTTTTATAACTAACGTCCAAAAGTAAGGGAAAGGTAACTAGAAGTCTAGAACTAATAGAAAATACACATACACGTACACGTACACGTACACGTACAGAGAGAGAGAGAGAGAGAGATTGGAGCCTTAATTTGATTCTATATGTAGAAATGACTTTCTGGTCGTAAACTTTCATTTTTCAGGTTTATAAAAGGTTCTCTTTATATTTTAAAAATAAATTAATGATCTGGAAAGCAAATTAGAACCGGCGCTAGTTGCTTTTTTTTTTTTTTTCAAGTTGGGAGAAAAAGAAAAAACAAAAGTGAAAAAGTAGTTTTCATAAATATATCTTTACAAGGTGGAAAGGCAACTGCCTTGCCAACCATATAGTCCACACAAAGTGCCCAAATAAAGTTGTCAAGATCGTTTGAAAAGAAAGAAATCAAGTTAAAGAAGTATTATGGGTGCATTTAGAATTCGTTTTAAAATGATTTTATTTTTTGTATGAAAATAGAAATGAAAATTTTTTTAATCTCAGACATAAATTATTTTTGAAAATGCGTTTGATAATTTTATTAAAAGATTATTTTCAGTAAAAAAAAAATCCATTAACGTCTCTCTCTACTCAAGAGGGGAGAAAACAGAAATAAAAAATGAAAAAAATAACTAAAGGTCATTTTTCATTTCTCTCTCATTTTACACTAAACCAAAAAATCGTTTTCATTTTCGTTTTTTATTTTTAATTATGCCAAATGTCATTTCTCTCTCATTTTCATTTTTTTTTCTCAAAAAACGTGAAAAATAGAAACAAAAAGAAATCCAAACACAGCCTATATCTTATAGTTGAAATTAGTTGTACCTAGAGTCTGTCTCCTTTCGTGTGCCCTACAAATTAATAAGATTTTGCCACATTATCGAAATTAAATTAATCGAATGGCTTTTCAATTTAAAATTTTTGATAATGTGGCAAATATCTATTTGCGATACAATAAAGGAGGTAGACGTTGGGACAAAGGATTTCCAATCTTGATGTAACTGCGGAATGCTTTGTCAACTAGATTGAATATGTTCGGACACAATTATTTCATTGAAGCAAAATATAACTCCTGAAAAAGATAACTATAAAAAACTATTGTACATATTATCCATAATTTTATGTTTTCTCTTTGACCATCAGTTAGGTGTACATATGGTTAGTCATAAGTTAGAGTCATATATGGCAGGTTTTCTTTTTTTTTTTTTTTTTTTGTGATTTATATTTTTTTTTTTTTTTCTCTTTTTTTTTTTTTTTTTTTTTTTTTTTTTTTTTGAAGCTCTATAATGTTCAGTTCATGTCTGCTTTTATCCTTTTCTTTCCTCTTTCTTCTCTTCATTTAAAAAAAAAAAAAAAAAAATTGCTGTTACTTATACATTGACACAAGAAATGTACAATTGAATGTGGGAATCAATCGGACCCCACCACCAAAATATATGACATAACTTCTCTCTCGTCATGACCAAAAACTTAGAACCCAAGTTTCGCTGTCTTCCCAGCCCCAACGCTGCCGAAAGTGATAATCTGACATTCTTTGACCACCAAAAACTCATAATTAATTAATTCAAATTACTCATTTGCCATTCCCTCTCATCAACAAGCTAAGCTCTCTCACTTTTCTTTTTCTTGTTTATGCAATTTTAAGCACTTATATAATTTGTACATATCACCGGCACCGGCCAACATATCACGAGCAAAGAAGAAACCTATATTCTCACACAAATATTACAATAAGATCAACATATATTATAGACCAATATTCTTCCTTAAAACTCCAAAACTCTCTTTTCTCTCCAACCAAACAAGAATTTGAGCAAAGCCCATCAGTTTAATGTCCCGTTGGAGCCTAGCGATTAAGAAGCTTTCGCCTGCTAAGAAGGCGTGGAAGAGCTTCGTAACCAAAATACAACCACATCTCAGAAAACTTATCAAAAACACCCTCCCAAAGGCCATTAGAGCCGCCACTCATCGCCTCCTCATTTCCTTCCGCTCCTTTCTTCCTGCCAAACTCCGTCCGATTTCGAACTCTCGTCGGAGTTATCACAACACCAATAACCACTATTGTAGCCGCCAATACTACTACCAAAACAAAAACAAATCACCTCTTTACAAGAGTTTCGCGGCTATACACATAGACGAGCTCTTTGAGGGAACCACCACTACTACTACAAAAAATAAAAATATTCTACGTGATTGTAATACCATGCATGCAGAAGCAGGGACGAGCGCTGATAATAATAATAATATTATTATTATTATTAAAGAAGGTAAAAAAGCGGTTGATCAAGTTCATTATGAATATAATAATGATCGTGATCACGATGAGAGGGATTTGCAGAGGACTGAGAGTATTTACAGTGTTGAGGACGCTTGGAAGGCGGTGGTGGCGGCGTCGCCGCAGCTGCGATGTGTGGACGAGAGGGCTGAGGAGTTCATCTACAAGGTAAGGCAAGACATGAGGCTTCAGAAGGAGAAGTCCCTTGTTGATTTCGAGGAGATGTTGGCTCGAAGCACCTAAGTATGTCTGATCTTTTCTTCTATTCGTGATTATTATTATTATTATTATTATTATTATTATTATTATTATTATTATTATTATTATAATACTACATGTTTTTTAGTTTTGGTGATCACGGAACATAGGAAACTATATATGAGAAGCATAGGGGTTGGAATTCTTTTTAATTTCCTCCTTTGTGTGTTTCATGTGTTTGAAATTTAATTTGTTGAGTGATTAAATTAATTAAAGAAAGGTTATGAGAAGGTACAGGGAGTATGGTTACTTCGTGTGTGTGACTGGTTGTGTGTGAGAATTTGTAGTTAATCAGTTGTATGTAAACTTATGTGAGATTTGTCGCATATTGTTGTGTACGCTCGAACCACGATTGTCTAAAGTCGATGCTTAAATTTTTGGGTTTATATTTTGGTTGTTAATCAATGATCTCTACAGTGAGAACACCCCACCATAGTTGCCATTGACCTCAATTTTACGATTTAAATTGGATGACACTTACGAAGTCTTTGTAAGTGGTACAACCCAAAAAAATAATAATAATAAATAATAAAAAATTTAACGATATCCAATTACCTTACACAATATGAACCATTTGATATGAATCCCTTTATCATGATCGATGGAACATGCAGTGTCGTCTGTTGAGTGGACCTATAGACTAGAATTTATCTTCTAGAAATGTTATATCTCCTAGAATTTAAAGTTAGAAAAAATAGACAAATACCCTTTAAAAGTGTATGGGTTAAGATATTTTTATAATTTACTCTTGATTAATAACCTTTTTCATCAAATAACTAAACTTACAAAATGGTATTAATCAATAATGAATGAGAAAAATTCAAACTCATGCACTCTTAAAGATAAATTATGCAATTTTCTCTTTAAAAAAAAGTTTGACATCCGCGACTCTAAATTGATATTAGGCCCTTTGTTTTAAAACGAAGCAAATACCAGATTTATTAAACTAAATTAAGTAAATAGCTGACTTTAAAACTATTTAAAATAAATAACAATTTACTACATAAATACTTCATTTACGACTAGTAAAAAGAATTTTTTTCACAGTTTTTTTTTTTTACACGATTGATAAAAAGAATTTTTTGCATATAAATAAAGATTTCTAACCACAACTTATTCTTTACCTGTCGTAAATAAACCTTTACGTGGTAAATTGCTATTTACTTCAAATAATTTTAAAATTTTGCTAGATACTTAATTTAGTTTCAAAATCTATTATTTACTACGATTTCTCTAAAATTAATAGCATATTTTAAAATAAGATTTAGTAAATAACAGATTTGAACAAAACAAACATTTTATAATATCAAAAATACCCTTATTTAAAAAAAAAAAAATCTCCTTGATTCTCCATATCTTTCTCTCTCCCACTTCCTCTTTCTCTCTCCTCTATCTATGCTCAGCCTCTCTTTCTCTTTCGTCTCACTCTCCGACCCCTGCATACCTTCGTTAAGTCCGGTGACGGAGGCGCCATTTGCAGAAGACATCCCAACTCGAGATCTCCAGTGCTAACTCACGTTCGCAAGCAAGAAAGGATAGAAGAGAGAAGTACAAGAAAAGAGAGATAGAGATTTTTTAGATATTTAGGCTTCAAATTTTTGGGATTTTTTAGGGTTTTAATATTGTAATTAATTATAAGAGTAAATTGAAAAAAAAATTATATTTTTAAGAATCTGTTATTTACTAACTAGGTAAAATAATTATGTTATTTATAGTCCTTTAAGTTTAGAAAATCTACTATATACTATATACTATTATATTTTTTTTTTTTTTTCTTCAAGATATTGGGCTCAACTTATTCCAAATTAGAGATGCCTAACCCATCTCGCCTTGGGACTTTACAAAAATACCACAAAAATTAGGCTTGAATTGATATATGCTTAGAGAAAAAAAGTTCTGCAAAAAAATACCACCATGACATCATATTACATTTGGAAAACCAAATATACCCTTAGGATACCGGTTAGTATCCATCATCAATACCAGTATCCGACTAAAATACTAGCAAGTATCTAACAACAATACCAGGATTTGGGCAAGATATTCATCTGTATCTGACTGACAACCGCCGATATTGGCGGTAGTTTAGTCGTCGTAATCACCATAATACTTAAACCCCCGTTTATTTCACCGATTTGAGTTTTGCTACAGTAAAAAGCTCTTATAAACAATCACTTCTAACTTTTTTACTACAGTAAAAAGCTCTCACATAAAGTCACATCTCAACTCGAATTAACCAACTAAACGGACCCTTAAAATTCAAAAAATATCACAAAAAATACACAGAGAAGCACAAAAAATTCACAAAATCCACAAATCCAAACAAAAATTAAAAAGAAAAATATGTCCAGCCGTCAGAGAACAATCTCATTATAGATGTAGCAATGACGCAGCTTGTGGAAGATATCCACGACATTGAAGATCTTCGTGCCGGAGTCCAGATTCGTGCACTCCTGTCGATGAAGGAATGAAAAAAATATCGCTTCTCCTAATGATTGTCGAACAAATCTCCACGACATGATCTTCGAAGCTCGGACGAGATCTGTATGGCAATGAAGGAGATGTACACAGTATTGCCATCCTTGAACAACCACGTCGGGGACAAAGAGCTTGGGGTTCAACAGTGGCGTAAGGGGTCGGTCTTGTTGTGGGTTGCAAAGAAGAGATGGGGAGAGAGAGAAGATAAAGAGGAAGGCCGTAGGAGAGGCGTGAGAGAGAAGCGATTGACCTAAATTTGAAACTGACATGCAGGGAATTGGGGCTGAGAGAAAATGGGAAATACAGACAGAAGTTCGTAGTTTTTCCTCTATGGCAGATTTTGTAACAGTTTTACTACCCATGACATTTGTCGATCCGCTTGTCAAATGCATGGCTAAAGGAATAAGGGATAACAACATAGATGGCCCTTTTCTAAGGATTTAAAAAAAAATTAATAGAAGTTTTACAAAACTAGTAAAATGGTCGTTTCCCTCATGTCATTGATTAACTTAGTAGTCAATAACTAATTGACTAGTTTATCATTGATTAACTCAACAGTCAATCACTGATTAGTTTAAGTTTTATCACTAATTTACTCAATGAATTTTCATATTAATTTATATCAGTTAATAAGTAACTGAAATGAATTAATAATTAATTAATTTCAATCAACAAAATAACATGTGTATTAATGATATATTCTTGATAAATTATAATAATAAATCAATCAATCACTAATTAATTACCGGAAAAAAAAGGCCATTTTGCTAAAATAAAAAAAGTTTGGTTATTTGTTCAAAAATAAAAAGTTTGGCAATTTATTGAAAAAGGCGGTAAAAAAGCAACCATTTACCTGATTTTCTCAAGGAATAAATATCTCTCTCACCTTTGTTTCTCAAGATTGTCTTAGGGCTCATGTATCGAACATGATTCTTGCTAAGAACAAGCCTCTAGCATGAGGCATAATCCTCATTTAAGGAATGTTTGGTACATATACTTAAAACTCAAACCATGATTCTGATACAGTATTTTCCTCTTATAAAGAATTTGAATTAAAAAAATTCCTGTCAATAGTTCTCTAAAAAAGAAATTGAATCAAAACCCAAATAATGGTTCAAATACAACTTCTAAACAGGCCCTTAAAGACTTGGAATTTAGATATATTGATTTTTGAAAATGTAAACCTAATTTCACATCAAAGTGATCTAGGACTTTAATAGTTACACAGCCTAATTTCAATTCAGCTCATGAGTCATGTTTTTCATATCTCATTTTGTGTCCCTCCAACAATATCATACCACCATCAATTAAAATACCTATATTGTTGCATATAGCATATTTCCTAAACTTTAGGTTTGTAAATAACATAATTATTTTATCTAGTTAGTAAATAGCAAATTTTTATGATTTGAATTTGATTTTCATATTTTAGCCTTATGTTTGATTATAGCTACTATGAAAACACTACAAATTCCCCAAAATTGGAAACTAAATTCCCAAAATTCCGCTTTCTCTCGCCGTCTTCAACACGCGAGAAGCTCCTCAATCTCTGTCACAAGGTCATCACACGTTTTGACCTCCATCTCAACCAGACCGATTCGTGATGTTCAACATGGCACCGACATTGTGGATGTTAGATCTGTGAGCTTGTTTCTCGCCAAAGATGGTCAGACATTGCACGACAAGGATCAACGACAGAGGAGCGAACTAAGGCAAAGAGAGGAAGAGGAGGAATTCCCCAAAATTGGAAACTAAATTCCCAAAATTCCACTTTCTCTCGGCGTCTGCAACACGCAAGAAGCTCCTCAATCTCCGACACAAGGTCATCGCACGTTTTGACCGCCATCCCGACCAGACTGATTCGTGATGTTCAACATGGCACTGACATTGTGGATGTTAGATCTGTGAGCTTGTTTCTCACCAGAGATGGTCAGACATTGCACGACAAGGATTGTGAGCTTGTTTCTCACCAGAGATGGTCAGACATTGCACGACAAGGATTGTGAGCTTGTTTCTCACCAGAGATGGTCAGACATTGCACGACAAGGATTGTGAGCTTGTTTCTCACCAGAGATGGTCAGACATTGCACGACAAGGATTGACGACAGAGGAGGGAACTAAGGCAAAGAGAGGAAGAGGAGGAGGAGTCCAAAACTTGACAATCAAACCATATAGTAATTGGTTTCATATAGTAGTTCAAATCTTAAGCTCTATTCCTCCCATATATCTGCCAACACTTGAGTACCTAGTACAAGCTTACCCATCACAAACTTGCCAATCAAACCATATTTTGATTCCTTAAGTAATTAACACGTTAATAGTGTGATATGAGTTTATCAAACAAACCAACATAACAACTCCAATCTTGCAACAAAGAATGCAACTAGCCTTGCATCATTTTAGTCTTCCTTTGCTTTCGCGCCACAACTTATAGTCAGTTGCAATAACTGAGCAATAAAAACAAAAGGAGAAAAAGTTTTATTAGCACGCAGTAACAAACAATACAG